CGGCTTCCCCCTCTCCCGCGGACCCCCCGCGGACCCCCCTGCCCCTCACCCCCCCCTCGTAGCCCCATGGAGTAAAACCCGCCTATTATATCTACTACTATGGACTGGGACACGCCTGTACGGCGTGCTTTGTGCTCAGGCAATTAGTACACCGTTTAGCCTGCTTTACCGCATCCATGCGTTGACTCGGCGTCTTCTTTATAAATTGCGGACATTTATTTATGAAGTGCGAGGATTTGCACAGTGGGCATGACGAAGAGGCCGATGTAATCACAGAAGCGCTCGTTATTTTTGTGGGCGCGTAACAGGTTTACCCGAACTGGGCGGCGATAATTCTTCAAGAGCTCGAACGCGCATTTCGAGGAATCGATCAAGAGCTTCATAGCGCGGAATGCGCCCATCCTCATTACTTTTTAATTTCCATGCCTTTCGCGTGGCATGGTCGAGTCTCTGCGTTACGGTGTATACGAGAACGTCACTAAGAATCTCATCCGACGAGCGATTTAAATTTTTCAGCGACGCTATCGCGTGATTTGCTTTGTCTCGCAATTCATTTAGCTCGAAAGCGGATTCGCGAGGAATGTTCGGTAAGTTATATAACGCTGATACATGCAATTCGACCAGACGTCGTTTATTATCGAATCGAGATACAAGAGTTTCCCACGCGATTTCGAAATTATCAGCCGTGATAGGAATGAGTCTGATTGACTCGAGCGCACGACCTGTTAGGCTCGAAGCGAGAAAATGCATGCGTGAAAAGGTCGAGAGCTCTTTATTCTTAATAATGAGAGACGTAAACCGATTGCGAAAGCTTTCCCATTCTTCGAATTTGCCCGAGAACGGCGGAATATTAATTCGAGGCAAATGAGATAATGAGAGGGCCGAATACGTAGTCGGAACCTGAGTTGGAACTGCTGCTGGTTGAATCCTTATTGGGGGCTCCAGCTCCTCGAAGCAGTCGGCCATGTAGTCCAAGGTCAGCTCGTAGATCTCCTCGTATGCCTCAACCTTCTTGTCCTTGAAATAGGAGAGTTCTTTCCGTTGTTTCACGGGGTAGGCTTCCAGCAGAACAGCATGTCTCGCCACGCACTGGGCCCATGTTTCCTTCAGGGTTGTAATCCGCTGTCGAATTTTAGCGGGAGTGTAATTGTTTTTTCCGAGCTTCTTGAAGTTTGTCTGAGACTGCTCCATCGTATACAGTGCGATGAGTTGTTGCTAGAGATGGTCGCTCATTGTCTTGGTCTTACAGCGTCACCAAAAAGACTAATTGTGAGAGGTGATTCACGAAAATGTGAGAGAGACGCCGCACGGCGTCCGTCTACATTTCCACACAGTAACACCTCAATCCGGCTCGAAGGACCAAATTTATGTTCACGATTTGAGCGATTTTGAACTAATCGTCGTGAACTGACGGTGCCGGGATCACTCAGAGAGAGTGAGAGGAGATGTGTGGGAGATGAAGATGGTTCGGCGGAGAGTGAGAGAGCGAGTACAAGGCGAAAAGGAGAACGAGCAATTATGAAGCGTAGCAGTCAGATGCCGAATTTTGAGTTTGGTTCGTGGTAATCTCTTCTTATTGTAAAGGAGAGGAAAGTCGTGCTTTAAAATAAACTGATAGACGTAGGTAATAATCGACTTATCTATATTTAACACGCACTTTCTCACACAAAAGATCTCACTTAAGGACAATTTCAACTTTATCTGAACTCAACAATTCTCGTTCAGAGGTTCGCTCTCTTCTGTCTAATTTTCGGCGCTGCTCCGGGGATTATATCTTTCACAAACTTCCTGGTCGAGTTTGTTATACATTTAAAGAGAGGGGGAAGCCGCGCAGTAGGCCTGACGCATCTTTTTGTGAAGAAAAACAACCAATATTGGTTGTTTGTTCAACGTAACAAACAGGATTGTCACGCGGAAGTCACGACAAATAGCATGGTCAGAATGTGCTCGAGGGCACTTGTAAGAGCGACA